GAGAGAGAGGGGGGTAGAGAAAGGGGGGGGGTAGAGAGAGGGGGGGTAGGCGGCGAGGGGGGGGGGTTAGAGTAGATGGAGGGGTTAGAGAGAGGGGGGGGTAGAGAGACGAGTGGGGTTAGAGATATGAGGGGGGGTAGTAGGAGAGGGGGGGGGGGGGTTTAGAGAAAGGGGGGGGGGTAGAGAGAGGGGGGGTATAGAGAGAGGGGGTAGAGAGAGGTGGGGGTAGAGAGAGAGGTGTGGGGGGTAGAGAGAGAGAGAGAGGGGGGGGGGGTAGAGAGAGGGGGGGGGTTAGAGGGAGATGGGGGGGTAGAGAGAGAGGGGGGTAGAGACAGAGGGGGGGGTAGAGAGATGGGGGGTTAGAGAGAGAGGGGGGGGGGGTAGAGACAGAGGGGGGGTAGAGAGATGGGGGGTGGGTAGAGAGATGGGGGGGGGGGTAGAGACAGAGGGGGGGTAGAGAGATGGGGGGTAGAGAGAGAGGGGGGGGTAGAGACAGAGGGGGGGTAGAGAGATGGGGGGGGGTTAGAGAGATGGGGGGGGGGTAGAGAGAGGAAGATGTAAGAAGGAGGAGAGCAGAGCGTGACTCTTTTTGTGAAATCTTTCATTTAAACGGAGGGGGGGGGGGCACGGGGCACATAAAGCAAAGCATTGGCAAAAAAAACGAAATGATGAACGAAGCAAAGTGGCGACTACACCGAGCGAGCATCTTCTTGTTTCCTCTGATCCGTAAAAAATACTAAATTAATAAAAGAGAGAAGGAGAGGAGGGGGGAGGGAGAGGGGGGAGAGGGGGGGAGAGGGGGGAGAGGGAGAGGGGGAGGGAGAGGGGGGAGAGGGGGAGGGAGAGGGGGGGAGAGAGGGGGAGGGAGAGGGGGGAGAGGGGGAGGGAGAGGGGGGGGAGAGAGGGGGAGGGTGAGGGGGGAGAGGGGGAGGGAGAGGGGGGGAGAGGGGGGAGAGGGGGAGGGAGAGGGGGGAGAGGGGGAGGGAGAGGGGGGGAGAGAGGGGGGAGGGAGAGGGGGGAGAGGGGGAGGGAGAGGGGGGGAGAGAGGGGGAGGGTGAGGGGGGAGAGGGGGAGGGAGAGGGGGGGAGAGGGGGGAGGGAGAGGGGGGAGGGAGAGGGGGGAGGGAGAGGGGGGAGGGAGAGGGGGGAGGGAGGAGGGAGAGGGGGGAGGGAGAGGGGGGGAGAGAGGGGGAGGGTGAGGGGGGAGAGGGGGAGAGGGGGGGAGAGGGGGGGAGAGGGGGGGAGAGGGGGGAGGGAGAGGGGGGAGGGAGAGGGGGAGGGAGAGGGGGGAGAGAGGGGGAGGGTGAGGGGGGAGGGAGAGGGGGGAGGGAGAGGGGGGAGGGAGAGGGGGGAGGGAGAGGGGGGAGGGAGGAGGGAGAGGGGGGAGGGAGAGGGGGGAGAGGGGGAGGGAGAGGGGGGAGAGGGGGGAGGGAGGGACCCCGAGATACCCCGACGAGACAGCTGCTTCTCCCAGTGTCTCTCATTCTCATGGAAATCCCCAATCTGGCCCCCTACATCCCATCCAGGGTGGCGTCCTGGCGAGACCGGGAGAGGGGCTGTGTGTGGGGGGGGGGTCGTTCATTGAACTCCCCCCGTGTTGTTAACCTTTCATATCTAATAGAGGGTTTTTTATTGGGTTAGATCGCGTAAAATATAAATGTTGTGTCGTTAAAACCCGCCACCACCCGACACAGCCAACTAGTAAGGGTTGTCACGTAAACAGAACGTGGCCAATTCGTCACTAGTAGAGCACTAACCGGTGTGTTCTTCTCGGTTCTTTCGGTAAAGTCACGTAGAATGGAAATAATAAAATAATAAAAATAAAACATTATAAAATAATTCTCAGAGAATTACAAAATAATTCTAAGAGAATTATTTAATTATGTTTTCTTTTTATAAAAATAATAAAAATACAACATAATAAAATAATTTTCAGAGAATTAAAAAATAATTCTCAGAGAATTAAAAATAATTCTCAGAGAATTATTTTATTATGTTTTATTTGTATTATTTTATCATTTCCATTCTACGTGACTTTACCGAAAGAACCAAGAAGATGAATCCCTGCAGTCACGAAAGCTTTGAATCTAAATTTAAACGGTGTGTGTTGGAGAGCCAAGCCACGACATTTATAAATGATTTTGAACAGCCACGCGTGCGAGGGAGAAACGCGCTATCCCATACAAAATGAACAGATGGTGTGAGTGTCACACTTTTCTGGTTACGGTCGGGTTATGGCCTCCTCGACACGCGCGGGAAGGGATTTTCACACAGCGTCTCTGTGTGTTCCATCAACCCTCGCTGCTGCTGCTGCTGCTACCTACACACTGCTGGATTACAGGCAAATAACAAAATCACCCTGACACGTGCAGAGCAGTCACCACCGCCGCCCCCCCGTATGGCTCTGACTCGTATGAAATAGAAATGTCATCCCTCGCTCACTCATTCACTCACCCACTTCACTCAACTCGTCACCCGCCCACACGCGTACGGACTCGCCCACCCGCCCACTACACTATACACTACACTATACACTACACTGCTTTACACTATACTATACACTACACTATACACTACACTATACACTACACTATACACTACACTACTTTACACTATACTATACACTACACTATACACTACACTATACACTACACTACTTTACACTATACTATACACTACACTATACACTACACTATACACTACACTACTTTACACTACACTATACACTACACTATCCACTACACTATACACTACACTACTATACACTACACTACTTTACACTATACTATACACTACACTATACACTACACTACTTTACACGACACTATAGACTACACACTACAATACACTACAATACACTACACTACTTTACACTACACTCCACAATACACTATACACTACAATACACGACACTACAATTCACAATCCACTATACACTACACTACACAATCCACTATACACTACACTACTTTACACTGCACTACACTATACACTATACTAATACACTATTTACACTATACACTACACTATACACTACACTACACACTACACTACACAATACACTACTCTATACAGGGTGAATTTGTTATCATGTTGCAGTTTTTTGCCATTAAACAAAACGACAGTCCCGTATAAGTGTTAACATTTGTGTTGAAGCACCCTGAATCATGCCACCCACCCCGTCCCGTTTGTCCTTTAGCCACTTGGGGCTCTGCGCTTGTGCATTGCCACGCTCGCCCCGAGTACAGCCCAGCGGACACTTGCCCCTGTGACACTCAACTCACCCAAACCCGCCCCCCATTCATTCACTTACTCACCATCATCTCATCCGCACGCTCGGACACGCCACACAAAGAACGGAGAGATTCAGAACATTATTAACAGCTGAGAACGGTACCCGGTATAGCCTATGACAGACTGTTGGGGCAAGTGCTGTTCGCGAGCACCTATGAAGGCCAGAACGGTACACAAGGGGGTGGGTGGCCAGCACCACGCCCGACCGCCTTTGTTTCCCCAGTGGTGATGTTTACACACCGCACCAGGTACTCATTTGAGGCTGAGTCGACCTAGGGGAGGCCCAGGACCGGTTCAGATAATCGTCACTGATGTTGGCCGTGAGCGGGAATCGAACTCGGGTGGCCGGGTTCATAGCGCAGCGCGCTAACCGCTACACTACCACTCCCCACACACACACACACGTACACACACACACACGTACACACACACACGTACACACACACGCACACACACGCACACGTACACACACACGCACACACACGCACACGTACACACACACACGTACACACACACACGTACACACACACACGTACACACACACACACACACGTACACACACACGCACACACACGCACACGTACACACACGTACACACACACATGCACACACGCACACACACGTACACACACACGTACACACACACGTACACACACGCACACACGCACTCACACACACGTACACAAACACGTACACACACGCACGCACACGCACATGTACACACACGTACACACACACGTACACACACGTACACACGCACGTACACACACACACGTACACACACACACGTACACACACACACGTACACACACGTACACACACACACGTACACACACGTACACACACACGTACACACACGTACACACACGTACACACACACGTACACACACGTACACACACACGTACACACACGCACACGCACACACACGCACACACACACACACGCACACACACACACGTACACACATGTACACACACACACACGTACACACACACACGTACACACACGCGCATTCTCTCGCTCCCGCACGTGAGAGAGCGAGGAGGCTGCCGGCCTCGGCTCATTACCGCTCCATGAATTAAAGATGAAAAGCGAGAGGGAGAGCGAGAGAGAGCGGGTGAGAGAGTGAGAGAGCGAGCGAGAGGAGATATACAGAGAGAGTGGAGGAGAGTGAGAGAGAGTGAGAGAGCGAGAGGAGATATACAGAGATAGAGTGCAGGAGAGTGGAGAAGAGCGGGCGAGAGAGCGAGAGAGATATACAGAGAGTGCAATTTTTTTTTTACAAATATTACATAGAAAACAGGGGGAACATAGACATGGAGTAGAGAGAGAGGGGGTAGAGAGAGGGGGGGGGTAGAGAGAGGGGGGTAGAGAGAGAGAGAGAGGGGGGGTAGAGAGAAGGGGGTAGAGAGGGGGGGGTAGAGAGGGGGGGTAGAGGGGGGGTAGAGAGGGGGGGTAGAGAGGGGGGGTAGAGAGAGGGGGGTAAAGAGGGGGGGGGGGTAGAGAGGGGGGGTAGAGAGGGGGAAGATGTAAGAAGGAGGAGAGCAGAGCGTGACATCTTTTGTGAAATCTTTCATTTAAAAAAGGGGGGGGGACACATAAAGCAAATCATTGAAAAAAAACGAAAAGATGAACGAAGCAAAGTGGCGACTACACCGAGCATCTTCTTGTTTCCTCTGATCGTAAAAAAGAGAGAGAATGCAGGAGAGTGGAGAGAACGCTTCATGAATTTGCGTGTCATCCTTGCGCAGGGGCCATGCTAATCTTCTCTGTATCGTTCCAATTTTAGAGAGCGATCGAGAGAGATGTTGTGGGGGGCGAGGAGCGTGCGAGAGGGAGAGACAGCAGGTGGATGAGAGCGAACGAAAGAGGGGGAGCGAGAGAATGAAGTAGCGGCCGTTAGCGAATGAGTGTGGAGAGCGAGTGGAAGAGAATGAAAACGAATAAGCGAAAGAGACTAAAGTCAAATAAGCGAGAGAGAGCGAATGAGTGGATGAGAGAGTGAGCGAATGAGTGAGAGAATGAGTGGGTGAGAGAGAGAGTGAGTGAATGAGTGAGAGAATGAGTGGGTGAGAGAGAGTGAGCGAATGAGTGAAAGAATGAGTGGATGAGAGAGTGAGCGAATGAGTGATAGAATGAGTGGATGAGAGAGAGTAAGCGAATGAGTGAGAGAATGAGTGGATGAGAGAGTGAGTGCATGAGTGAGAGAATGAGTGGGTGAGTGAGAGAGAGTGAATGAGTGAGAGAATAAGTGGGTGAGTGAGAGTGAGCGAATGGATGAGAGAATGAGTGGGTGAGAGAGAGAGTGAGCGAATGAGTGAAAGAATGAGTGGATGAGAGAGTGAGTGAATGAGTAAGAGAATGAGTGGGTGAGTGAGAGTGAGCGAATGGATGAGAGAATGAGTGGATGAGAGAGAGTGAGTGAATGAGTGGGTGAGTGAGAGATAGTGAGCGAATGAGGTGTGATAATGAGTGGGAGACAGAGAGACGTTGAGAGCGAATGAGTGAAAGAATGAGTGAGAGAGCGAGAGAGAGAGACGGGGATAGCGAATGAGTGAGAGAATGAGTGAGAGAATGAATAACAGGGCGAGAGAGAAAGCGAGAGAGCGAGAGACGGGGAGAGCGATCTTGGTGGTGGGAGATCGCGGCACGGGATGACATTTTCATCATCCCGATTGCGAGCGGAGAACCGGGCCTGGCAGGTGATCATTAATCCCGATAACTGCGAGTCGGAAAAGGGGGGGCAAGGGGGGGTAGGGGGGGGCAGTGAGGGGGGGGAGCAGGGGGGGGCAAGGGGGGGTAGTGGTGCGAGATTTAGCATAGGGGGGGGCGGGGTTGCTATTATTCCGCGAGATATTTTTTAGGGGGCATTAGTTGTTTTCTGAGCGTACCCAGAGAGACACAAAGCGACGCGGCCAAGCTGCTCGAGATGATTCGTGGTTGGTGGTGGCGGCGGCGGTGGTTGGTGTGGTGGTGGTTGGTGTGGTGGTGGTGGCGGCTGGCGGTGGTGGCGGCGGCGGTGGTGGTGGTAGTGGTGGCGGGGGTGGTGGCGGTGGTGGTGGTGGTGATAGCGGTGGTGGTGGCGGCGGCGGTGGTGGTGGTAGTGGTGGTGGTGGCGGGGGTGGTGGTGGTGGCGGCGGCGGTGGTGGCGGAGGTGGTGGTGGCGGTGGTGGTGAATTAGTGGAGACGCTCTCTCTGTCGTGGGGAGCGGTGGTGCAGCGGTTAGCACGCCACCGCGCCATGGTGACGATTATCTGAACCGGGCCACGGCCTCCCCCTAGGTCGACTCAGCCTCGAATGAGTACCTGGTGCTGGCCACCCAAACCCCTCGGATGCCGTGCCGGTCTTCATAGGTGGTCGTTAACAACACTTGCCCCAACAGTCTGTTCAGGCGATAGATAATGATGATGATGAGCATCTTTAAGAGCTCATTGACAATCTACTGCTGGATGGAGGCCTCCCACATGCCGTGTCGGTCACGGGCCATCACATCCATCATCACCATCATCACCATTATAATGATCACCACCATCACCACCACCACCACCATCATCATCATCACCATCATCACCATCATAATGATCACCACCATCACCACCACCATCATCATTACCATCATCACCATTATAATGATCATCACCACCATCACCACCACCACCATCATCATCATCACCATCATCACCATTATAATGATGCACCACCATCACCACCACCATCATCATCACCATCATCACCATGATAATGATCACCATCATCACCACCACCATCATCATCACCATCATCACCATCATAATGATCACCACCATCACCACCACCATCATCATCATCACCATCACCATTATAATGATCACCATCATCACCACCACCATCATCATCACCATCATCACCATCATAATGATCACCACCATCACCACCACCATCATCATCACCATCATCACCATTATAATGATCACCACCATCACCACCACCATCATCACCATCATCACCATTATAATGATCACCACCATCACCACCACCATCATCATCCATCACCATTATAATGATCACCATCATCACCACCACCATCATCATCACCATCATCACCATCATAATGATCACCACCATCACCACCACCATCATCATCACCATCATCACCATTATAATGATCACCACCATCACCACCACCATCATCACCATCATCACCATTATAATGGTCACCACCATCATAATCACTATCATCATACCCACCATCATCATCACCATCATCATCACCATCATCACCACCATCATCACCATTATAATGATCACCATCATCATCACTATCATCACCATCATAATGATCACCACCCCCATCATCATCACCATCATCACCATTATAATGATCACCACCATCACCACCACCATCATCACCATCATCACCATTATAATGATCGCCACCACCACCATCATCATCATTATAACCATCATCATCATCATCACCACCACCACCATCACCACCATCATCACCACCATCACCACCATCACCATCATCATCACACCTCCGACAAGCACGGTTGGCTGCTACGTAGGGTGCAAAAGAAGTTCAACATAGGGGCCGTCCATAAATGACGTCACGCACCTAGGGGGGGGTCAGACATTTGTGACGATGTGTGACGAGGGGGGGGGGGTTGAGAAACGTGACGTCACATCAAAATGCGCAACTTTAAATAAATACAGACAACACGTTCTACTTAATTAAATAGACTTTTTAATAAATGTTTTCTCCTACAACATCAGCGTGCAGCGGCACATTAAATACGCACTACAATGGGGCAGAGCTTTGTGACGTCATATTAGAGGGGGGGGTCTGACTTTTTGTGACGCCGTGTGACGAGGAGGGGGGGGTCAAAAATCGTCCAAAATCGCGTGACGTCATTTATGGACGGCCCCATACACACATCACCATCACCACCAATCACGAGAACGACGATCAAAAACAATGGGACGGAAATCTGCGAGATGTCGTCTCGATGCGGCGACGACTCAATCGACACAAGAGCAAGGGTCATCGCCCGAAACGTTGTGCACCATGTGCTGTTGTTTTTTTACCCATTTTAAGGTCACCACACGCCGTTCTTATTGACACGGCGCGTGTTGAGTTGTTGTTGTCTGCAACAGCAGAAGCAGCAGAAGCAGCAGCAGCAGCATCAGCAGCATCAGCATGAACAGCAGCAGCAGCAACAGCAGCAGCAACAGCAGCAGCAGCAACATCAGCAGCAACAGCATCAGCAGCAGCAGCAACAGCATCAGCAACGACAGCAGCAACAGCAGCATCAGTAACAACAGTAACAGTAGCAAAAGCAACAACATCAGGAGCAACAGCGTCAGCAGCAGCAGCAACAGCAGCAGCAGCAACAGTAGCAAAAGCAACAACATCAGCAACAACAGCAGCAGCAACAGCAGCAGCAGCGGCAACAGTAGCAAAAGCAACAACATCAGCAGCGTCAGCAGCAGCATCAGCAGCAGCAGGATCCCCAAGAAGGCAGCTGTTGCACTGATTCCCCGATGCGACGCCACGTGGACTTGGCCAGACGTCGATCCTCTCGTTCGCTCGCGAGGCTGCGTCGCGCGAATCGCCGCGGTCACGGCAACTCGGATGCAGCAGCAGCAGCGGCAGCAGGAGACAGGATCGAAGCTTCTCTGCGCGTCATTTCCCAGTCGTGGGTGCAGTGCCGGACGAAGCTAAGCGCGGGGCCTGTAGCGCATGCTGTTATAAAGGGGGCCCCTAAATTTAAACAACAAGAAAAACCGCGTAAATATTCAAACACAATTTTTTTAAAATCCTTTCTATTAAGTTCGCTTGCTTGCTTACTTAGGACCGTGCAAATCTTTCGGTCGTTTTTTAACCCACTTCCCGTGATCCAATCGAGCTGACATTTTCCACACAGACTCGTTGTGCGTGACAATTAATGTTCGTGAAAATTTTTTTCCAAAATTTTATACTTTTTAGGACAAAAATATAATATTTAATTACCAATTGCTTAATGGTGCCAGACAATCATCTGACCCATAGGTGGCAGCCATCTCAAGCCAGAGGACGAGAGGACTCTAGCCGCCACCCATATAAAGGATTTACAGTGAAAAACTTTGTTTTTACGGGTTATACTTATTTCATTTGCAAAAGGGCCAGATAATACGACCAATCGCTAACCTTACACACCCAGTCGTTCGTTAAAAGTTGAAGGCGGTATAGTACTATAGTAATAGAGCAAGTGCAGAATCACTGAACCGGAATTGATAGCTTGAAAGCATTTAGCGCGGGGCCCGTAGCATTATGTAGCTACTTGTGCCACTAGGATATAATCCGGCACTGCGTGGGTGTTGTTTGACCATACTTCACCACGCTGGTCAGAGCGGGTTTGCTGAAGGGCGGTGCGGAGTTGGAGGGGGGGAGAGAGATTCAGGATAAACAATACCATCTTCTTGGTTTTTTCGGTAAAGTCACGTAGAAGGGAAGTAATAAAATAATAAAAATAAAACATAATAATATAATTCTCACGACGTTTCGGCTACAACGCAAGCAGCCGTCTTCAGGTGTTAAGGCGCTCTTCTTCTACCTCCAACTCAGCTTATATATAAGCTGCTAGCTTGGCAGTGTCTCATTCTTCACCTGAAGACGGCTACTTGCGTTGTAGCCGAAACGTCGTGAGAATTATTTTATGATGTTTTATTTTTATTATTTTATTACTTCCCTTCTACGTGACTTTACCGAAAAAACCAAGAAGATGAATCCCTGCAGTCACGAAAGCTTTAAATCGAAACAATACCATGTTTAATTCAGTCGCTATCA